AATAATGGCCATAACGACGGCACGCTGGCAGAAAAGTCACGCGAATATTTCCGCCATGTGAATTCGTACTATGACAAACACGAGCGTAAGTGTTGTCGAGTTAGTGGAAGGAGTAGATGAAAGACGATTTAAATGGATCAGAAGATTTGGACGAATTTTTTCTTGGAAGGAAAGGCGATTCAAAAGACGAAAGAATTGGGAATTACACTTACAATTGGATCTCCGAAGTATGAAGCGAAGATTTGAATCACAGGCGTCTGCAATTTTTGTATTAACTTAGATCTCGGGTTACTTGGTAATTTCGTTTATGAAATCATTGAACTTTAACAATTTATCCGATGTAATACGACTCTTGCGTTTAATGATATATCTGTTTGTGAAAATGTTTTTGCAATTGATCAAATCTCAAATCTTCTAAAATTCTTTACTAGATCGCGGTAATTAAAATTATTTATTGCAAAACTGACTACTAATGTTGCCTGAGTAATTTTTGCGTAATTAAAGATTCAGATTGCGTATTACAAGATCATATAACTTAAAAATTGCATGTGACTATTTTTTCTAAACCTCATTTCATTCGGTTATTACTTTATTAGTATGCTTATTAACATGGTTAATGAATTGAAATGAAAGCAAATGTATGTGCACTTTCTGAGATTACGTATTGATACGCTGGTTTTTATAACTTTTTATTTAAAAATATGCAAATTTTGTGCATTTTTCTCATGCTGCATATTCTGAGATATAATTCATTACCTTCCTCGTCATTAACAGTACGAAGCGAGGTTAAGCATAAAACTTGGAAGTCAATTTTTTCAGGAACAATCAAAGTCCTTCATGAATCTCAATTCTAGTCTTATCTGGGAATATAGTTAAGATAAATTAGACAACCGTCGTGTAAATTAATTTATCACCCTAAGTAAGAATTCTAATTCTGGAATAAATCCTATCGATTTAGCAATTTTTAGTCTCAAGCATGCATTTTAATCCAATTTATCTTTTCTCTTTCAATCCATCATAGCTCACGTATTTCTTGGAATTAAAATCGGTCTGATTAAAATTAATTCTGAATAGCTTTCTAGTCAATAAACGACCCAGTTTAATTGTTCACTCTATCCTCGTTATAAAAATAACTTGAAAAAATAAAACCCACACACACACACAAAACGTCCATAAAATTATTTTAATCCTTTCGAAAATAAAAGATTGACACAGATCCGTAACCTCTTTTCCTTTAATAAAAAAATTTCATCGATCAGAGGTATAAAATTATAAGGCGAACCTTAAAAGAAGATTTTATAACACTTCGTAAGGTAGAGAAATTTGTAAAATTTTAGAGCTATGTTTTGTACAAAAATAAATTATTATTCAGCATCGGAGATAACAAAAATTCAATCAGCCGCGAATGTACGAAGGAAAAGTTCCAAAATTCACCAGAGTACGAGTCACGGTACGAATCCGCAGTGGAATTGATGGGCGTGGTATATTTTCACGTGATTTATAGATATAGAATTCGATTTAGGCAGGTACGCGAAGCGCGAGGAGTTCGCGTCGCTTGTAAAGACTCGCGAACTGCCTGGAATTCGAATGAATAAACGCGAATCGAGCGTGTCGCGCTCGAAGAATGAACGTGGAGGGAGGCCAACAGAAGAGCGAAAATGAATTATGGAGGAATGTGGCGAAAAATGTGCACCGCTTCGATTGGCGCGCGCGACTGCCTTTTCCCACGAGTTCTGGAACGAGGGCTTTCGAGGCTGCGTCAGAAATAACGAATGCATTAACCTTACTACTGTTAGGTGGCCAAGAATAAGTAGAGCTGCACGAATTTACGCCTTGAAACAAATGCAAGCTATATTTTATTTATAAAGGAATCCATTTATCTAGAACGTTCTAAACAGATGGTTTAGATTTCGATAAAGTATAACGTAGCACTTGAATAGTGGAAAAGAAAAACAAGCTATGTATATTATATATATATCGATATTTTATAAAACGACGAAAGTCCATTTGTAGCGATTTTAATTAATAGTGATTAATCCCATGGAATAATCTAAATCAACGATTGGTCGATTAAAGAAAAAAGATTAGTGCCTGAATGGAAAAATTTGTTTCGCTTTTGATAAAATAAAGAAAGGAATCACGGTTTATTCGAAATGCTATTTTAGTTAGAGACGGTGACAGTTGCTAGAGAGACCAGTGTAATACATTACTACACAATGAGCTATAATTTTAAATAATCGCTGCATAACAGTAGCAATATTTCATTTTCCGCTAGCCAAAACGCCTTGATGCTATACAACACAACCGAACTTAGTTTTTCTTTGGAAGTTTCGAAACAAGTTGTTCGGTGTAACAATGTTTGTTAGCCAGAGAATCATCAACGCAATTTATTTTCATTGCGAAAGCTAAAATAATATATGTATTAACTTCTAAAATTTGTCCACGACCTATAATCTAAAGGGAAAAGTAAAAATCTTTAAACGATGCGGTAAGACCGCACTGATTGGCATCCACGTTAAATACAAAATGACTAAAATTACTAGATTAATAGTTCTGATTCTTCAAGGAAAAAGGAAACTACTAACCGCATGTTCTACTTGCGAAACAAAAATCGTTACGCTAATTCGAAATTTGTCACAAAAGACAGAAACTCGATCCATCGGAATCGAACCCGCTAAATAGGTAACCGATGTTAGGACACAGAGGAGGGGACGATTTCCAGCCCACTCGACCTCAATTCGGGTGCCACGTATTCACGATAATCAAACGGAATTATGCTTGCCGTGGGGCAACGACTAACCGATCCCACAAATCAAAGAATCTACATGGAAGCGTTTCGTTCGAACCCCACGGAAACGATGAATCGAAGGGTGATGAAGATTCGGTTATGCCGGTGGAATAAAGAGACTCGATCGATTGGCTGATCAGCGAGGATCAGACGCGGTGTAACGAGTAAAAGAGAAAAGAAAAAGAGGATAATAACGGAGAAAGAAATAATCGAGACCCGGTGGAACAGGTAGAGAATTCGGGTACGCTGCTGCTAGATTTCATCTTTCACCCCTTTCGCTGACATAAATCGAACGACAAACGAACAACACCTAAAGAAAAGGGATCGGAGAGGTGAAAGAGGGGGATGGTTCGAGCTTTAAAGACCGCAACGTACTTTAATTGTATCGTTGAGCCGAGGCGGAGGGAAAAGGAGAGAAAGAAATCTAGCAAACTAACAGGCAGAGAATAAGAGCAAAAGGGACGAAGGGAGGGAAATGGAAGAAATAGAGCAGAGGCTCGTCGTGTATCATGTATTTTAAGGTATTTGGGTCGCGGCAAGGGTGCTACCACTGTTTCTATTATTGTCTCAAAAGGGAAGCAGCCCCTTCGCTTTCAGGACCCTGGAGCACACCTCTGTTCACCTGGAGTAAGCAGACCTGACGAACCGATCCACGCGCATTCATCCGCCTCTCCCCTCTCCTACCGTCAACCTGGCCTAAGAATCGAAAAAGTGACAACTTCTCCGCGTATATCTCTCCGCTCTCTTTTCGTTCGGTGTATCTGTCTGGACCAGCTGGGCGACAATGCCGGGAATTAAGGGCACGGATCGTCATAGGTGTGGGAATCTCGGGTGAAACAGAGCTGCGGCCCGGCTTGACTCTCACAAGAATGCATACTAATACCGAGACGGATAGTCCGTTCGTTATATCGAGGAAGCAGAAACGAGGATTTCCAACTGCTGTTGGTTGCTTGAGGGGGGATGCTGTCGAGATCACCCCTTGAATTTATTCCCATGCTTCTTGATGATCGTATGCGATCTGCTGGACGTAGACAGAACCGGTAGCAAAAAGGCGTGGAAGACGTAGATTTAAGAAGCTACGAATGCTTTTAGTAAGACGGTTAAGACAAATACTTATAAATACTTTCGTTGTACGAAGATGTTTCAATGACTTTGAGAGGAAACTAGGAGGAAATAGCAAATATCTTTTCACAGATGCTTGTGTGAACATAATATATTATATATCTGTGTAATACTTGTTGAAGTACGTATGAACGAAAGTTCTACAGTAGCAGTGTCTTCTACAGGGATGCATTATATATCTGAATAGAATTTTACAAGTATTTAAACAGCGACAGGCTATAATATGTCTATTGAAATCTTCGGTTTATGACATTCTTGCAAACTTTAAATTCGTAAATTCCATATGTCTACTAGAATGCTCCATTTATTCTATTACCATCTACTCGAATAAAAAATAGCTAAAATAAAAAAAACAATTTTCCTTTCGAAAATAAATGTTTAAAATTCAAATATCGCCTAAAACGTTAATCATCGTTATTTGCCCCCCTCCTTCTCCTTTACAGATTCAATTCTAACGTACATATTCTAACACCTATAACTTTTCCCTCACTCCTTCGACGAATCGTTCAGGTAAAATTTCTGCTGGCTAGTAGATTATCGATGAATGAAAATCAACAACGATGCGTAGAGTGACTGCTCTATCGTCATTAACAGACTGAAAAATCCCTTACTTCCTTGCCAGTCAGGTATTCCTTTCTTTCTCTCTTTCCTTCCCCGTTTCTACCCTTTGGAGAGTAACAAGTGCACGCTTCACGTGGAAATTAAGGATGCAAAAAACGCGCTGCGGCCTCGCAGCGGGAAATTTGAATGTGAATTCGAGGCAGCGGCGGGTCGCGTGCTGCTATGGATCTAGGAGTGAAATTTGCATACGGAAGGTCCTTGGCACGCATGAAAGCCCCGTGGCTGCCTTTGTCGGGAACGTGCTACGACGAGACGTTCGATTCCTTCGATACGCGTAACGGCCACGGTTTTAAACGGTTTTCGATCTTGATTCATGTCGAACCCTTCGATTCGTACAACGACTCTTCGAATCACGCATTTACATAAGTACATTTCGAGATACTTAGCGTGAACGAAGATTGAAAATTATTTTATAGGAATACGCGGCGATAGGAGATTAAGATTAGAATATCTTGATTTAGGTACGTACCTTGTGTTGTAGATCGTTCAACTCGCCCTGTAAGCCTTCCATTTAAGAATCGAAAGCAGCCTTAATATCCCACTAACGCTTCCACCTACAAGGAAAACAGTATCGTTCTTGTGATAGTCTTTACACACTCGTAAGAAATATTTAAAACAAAATGCGATAGAAATATATTTTCAGCACATTCGGATCAACGTGTATTTTTATATACATCCTTCTAATTCCGATCAAATTTTTTTCCTTTCAATCCTTCAAGCAGTTACACTATCACAAACATCACCAAACTTTCGTCTCACGTTTACAAATTCTATTTAAACTTTTGATCTAAACGTATTCACACTCGACAGTTACCCGCAAGTCATTCTACCCCATCAAAGCGAATCATCGAACGTCGAGATCCTAGTGGAAAGCGTGAACCACCTAATCAAACATATAGCTGCCTTCGAATTGCCTTTTGGTCCGACTTAAACATGGAAATAAATTCCGATCGCACGTTCCAGCCTCGTGTTCCCGATTTTAATTATAATCCAGGGAGGCTGCACCGGTGTGCCGTATCCGTCGCCTCATGCAAATAAATCATGGCAGGCCACAAAGCACCACTTCCGGCTCGTGTCTTCTACCCGGAAAAAATTTGAATATTTTCTTCTCAGACGTTTCTGTTTCCCCGTTCGAACGATCGTCGATGCGCACAGGCACGTGTCCAAAAATCGTCGATTCTAATTCTAATCTCCACGAGTCAAATTTGAATAACGTTCCTCACCCTCGAGTTTGATCTCGAGCGCGCGCTAGACTTGCGACACAGAGCGTGCTGGAAACGGGATCATCGAGCACACGCGACCGAATTTCGTTCTCCTCGTTCCTGGCGAGCCCTCCTCTGATTTGCATCATTTTACTTTCTTTTTTATTTCCGCGCGTGCCGGAATAAATCTCGGTCTGATACCAAACGTTACTCGAGGCGAGTCGAACGAGCGGATCATCGAACGCTGCGCGCGTTGCCATAGTCTGAATAAATTTATTTGATGGTGGATGGAGGCTGAGAAAATTTAAAGGTTGAAAGTGTAGCGATGGAGGAAAAGCGTAAGGACGAAGTTTCGGGTTTCCTTCTTAGCATAATTATATTTTTTGTTTCGCGAATTTCTGTACAGTTAAATATTACATAATTGTGTTATATTTCAGGTAGTTAGGTATAGTAGAACAAAGCGTGGCATTCGTTAATTGGAGTATGAAATATTAATAGCAGGATTGTATCAAAATTATCAAACAAAACAGATTTCTCTAATCACCTCTTACACTTTCCAATCTGATCGCATCTTCTCGCAACTTATCGAGTATAATCATCAAACTCCAAATCATCTTTTCTCAAAATGACGTCACGCTCTTGAAATAAAGGCAACCGCTGGATCGATACGAAAATCTGCCAAATCACTTCCATAAAACCTCCCCTCTAAGACTGGACCCGTTCCGTTCCAGTCACTACGCAGCTTCGTCATTGAACCGACGATCTAGCGGGACCATCGTGACGCGAAATCACGCGAATAAAACGGCGTTAAAGTACATGGATCGCAACGAATCCCCCGTATAAACCTGTTGGAATCGTTATTGTCACCCACGAACCCGTGGTCTTGCTGTTGCACGACGAACGAACCTCGAGTCTCGAGGCATCGACGAGGGGACACGACGCGTTTAGGACGCGCGTACGAGCCTACAATTATTGTCATTGTCACCCACGAGTTTCCATACGCGTCACCAACGACGGAGTAAAAGTCGATCGGACGCAGGCCGCGGAGAACGATCGACTGATCGAGGGCCGCGTAAAACGTGCGGAGACACAGCGAACGACCGATCGATCGCTCGTACACACGACGATTATTACTATCGTCGCGCGGCGATCTCCGTCCGTGGAACTTCGTTAACGCGATAAAAAATCGCCATCGTCTTTTACTTTCTTTTTTATTTCCGCGCGTGCCGGAATAAATCTCGGTCTGATACCAAACGTTACTCGAGGCGAGTCGAACGAGCGGATCATCGAACGCTGCGCGCGTTGCCATAGTCTGAATAAATTTATTTGATGGTGGATGGAGGCTGAGAAAATTTAAAGGTTGAAAGTGTAGCGATGGAGGAAAAGCGTAAGGACGAAGTTTCGGGTTTCCTTCTTAGCATAATTATATTTTTTGTTTCGCGAATTTCTGTACAGTTAAATATTACATAATTGTGTTATATTTCAGGTAGTTAGGTATAGTAGAACAAAGCGTGGCATTCGTTAATTGGAGTATGAAATATTAATAGCAGGATTGTATCAAAATTATCAAACAAAACAGATTTCTCTAATCACCTCTTACACTTTCCAATCTGATCGCATCTTCTCGCAACTTATCGAGTATAATCATCAAACTCCAAATCATCTTTTCTCAAAATGACGTCACGCTCTTGAAATAAAGGCAACCGCTGGATCGATACGAAAATCTGCCAAATCACTTCCATAAAACCTCCCCTCTAAGACTGGACCCGTTCCGTTCCAGTCACTACGCAGCTTCGTCATTGAACCGACGATCTAGCGGGACCATCGTGACGCGAAATCACGCGAATAAAACGGCGTTAAAGTACATGGATCGCAACGAATCCCCCGTATAAACCTGTTGGAATCGTTATTGTCACCCACGAACCCGTGGTCTTGCTGTTGCACGACGAACGAACCTCGAGTCTCGAGGCATCGACGAGGGGACACGACGCGTTTAGGACGCGCGTACGAGCCTACAATTATTGTCATTGTCACCCACGAGTTTCCATACGCGTCACCAACGACGGAGTAAAAGTCGATCGGACGCAGGCCGCGGAGAACGATCGACTGATCGAGGGCCGCGTAAAACGTGCGGAGACACAGCGAACGACCGATCGATCGCTCGTACACACGACGATTATTACTATCGTCGCGCGGCGATCTCCGTCCGTGGAACTTCGTTAACGCGATAAAAAATCGCCATCGTCTCGACGAGTTAGCGAACGATCGGTCGTTTCACCGAGGCGGGATCGCACGGGTATCGATCGACGGTTATTGCGCGATCCAAGATCGTCCGGGAGTGGAAGACGCGCGCTGCCCACGGGACAGGACGATTCGCAGGACATTCGATCGACGTCCAGCCAGGAATCGATTAGCTATCACGATTTTTCACGTGTACCTCCGACAAATTACCCGGTAAGTTACGCTCGCCTCGGGTACTGCCTCCGCCCCCGACGATCCAGCAACGATTGACGTGTTTCTCGTTTTTTCCCTGTTCCTACGAACAGAGACTACGTTTCCAGAGGTTTGTCCAAGAGAATGCTTCTTATCGTTAAGATACGCTAATGTGTGTCCGGGAGATTGCTCGGAAATTTACTGATATTTCTGCGAAGAGAACGTATGGGATGTTTCCTGCGAGATAAGCTTGACGATCTTATAAATTAAGAAACTGGGAGATGGTGAGTTGTGCACGATGTTACTCTTTTATAGGTAAATGGATGAGAGGTGCGGTGAAGGAGAATGCGAGTGGGATAATTTAGTTGGTTGTTACGATGGTTGAGCATTTGACGAGGTTGATGTTTATATGCTTAAGGGAACGGAATATATCTGTTACATTTAGATTAAATGAATATTATAAGATAAATAAATTAACACGTCCGGTGCCTATCGATTATGGACACGACGATGGAAATGTTGGAAATTGGACAATGGAATTTAATTCGAATTGTTTCTGGCGTGTGTATCTATAAATTTGTCTTTGCAAGATTCTATCGACTGACATATTAGTCAAATGTAGATTACATTGCTTAGCAAAATATTTCATGGGTAAGTAATATAATTATACAGTTTTATCTATGATTTAACGATAACATTTCACGCACGAATAAAACTACATTTCGATATTCCGATACAAAAATAATCCATACACTTTTACCTATGAACTTACTTTAACATCAAACTTCTTCAAACAACGTTAAACATACTCCAGAAACCTTCCCGTAGTTTATTAATTCTCTTTGAAAAAATGTTATGAACTAGTCTCTAACACTTGTACACATAATTTCCGCTAAAATCGTAATCACGTAAAAAAATTCGATCATGTCGAAGAAATCGCGTCGTTAACATCAAGAAGCTAGGGTTAATTCGTGCAAGCTGCGTACAATTTGTGGAATTCCGCGAAAAGGAGGACGAGCGTCCTCGTCGTTTATAGTCTTTTTACTGTGCCTTCGGTGCTCGATCGATAAAAATATTACGATTCAAGCGGGACGCAGACATTTCGCGGATTGCCGGCCATTCAACAACATCGAACGCGCATCCCGTGGAAACTATGCCGTCGTAAAAATCTCTTTCGCGCCTGCATGAGGGACGAGAGGACCAACGTTCTCTTGATCGGCATAAAGTACAGCGGGTATTAAATGCAAAATTCTGTATATATGCCTCCTGCCGCGTTCTTTTTCTCTCGAACGAGTGAAAACGTTGACCGTTTCGGTCGTGTCGGGTGATAAAAGCCGCGCTCCAACAAGAAATAAAGGAGATCGCCGTGATCTTGGCACGGCGAATCCGAGATCGTCGATCGATCGTTCGAACCCCTAGGCAATAATTATTATCGTCGCCACCCACGAGTCGACCTTGCGTCTTTTGAGCGACCGAGCTAAAGAAGAAAGAACGAACCCATAGGAGGAAAAGAAACCGAACGAAATAGAAAGAAACGACGCAAGCTCGAGGCATTTACGACAAGCCGCGTTTCCAATAGTCCCTTCTAAGCTTTCGTTATCCTCTTCTAGATCGTGTTCAATCGTTTCTTTCTCTCTTCGCCGCGAGACCGTCCAGCGGGGCTCGCGTGGGCGAACGAGCGACTTTATTGGCTGGTCCACAATGCGACATTTGCAGCTTCGTGTGTCGTAGGGTCGCTAGTATAACACGGCCACTTCTGGCTCAGGAAAAATTGCCGTGGATTACGTAGTCCCCCGCGACGAACTCGTTTTTCCTCGTATCGAAGCGCATTCGATGGCCGGACAACGTCAAAAGTGCGCTCCAAACGTAACCAGAATCAAACAATCTATCCGTATTCTTGGACGAATTTTAGATTCGTGACGATTTCGTCACTGTGAAATACTTTCTTTAGTTTTTAGTTGGATGGAAGTCGGATGACATTTATTAATTGCAAAATTAGTCGGTTCAGAATATTTTAGGATTAGGGATGAGTTGTTGGTATTGGATTTTCTGGTTGAGAAAATTAGCTTTGATTTTAAAAACGAGAAACTTGGAATATGTAATCTTAAATGAAGCGGAGAAATATAAAACATATATATAAATTAGTGTCAAGTACATGATGTTTAAGATGAACTTGCGGGGACTCTCTCTTTATTAATATTAAACGCGCATTTTTAAAGAATACGACACTCCTCTGTATTATAACGTAAATGATTATTAGAGGCAACTCATAGTACGTAAATCATAACAGATATGGCATCTCATTTGTGGTAATTAATACAAATATATAATAAATTTGAAAAATATTCATAACAATGTACATTTTTACTCCTATTAAGTCAATGCATTCCCAATTCTCAGTTTTCAAGCGCTATATTTAAAATACTGATGTAATTATAGACATTTAATGCATCAAATATTACCATGGAACGTCAATATCTAATATCCGAACGTCAAAGATATTCATATCGATAATTGCATAAATGCCATCCAGCTACTATTTACTAGCTACCCAGAAATATCAGCAATTTCGTTCTTTACTGTCTTCAACTATCAATAAACTTCGACCAAAAAAAAAAAAAAAAAAAACACGCTGGAGAACATTAATAGCCTCGAAAATTCCAATAATTCTATTTCAAGATAAAAAAAAAAAAAAAAAAAAAGAACACGCTGGAGAACATTAATAGCCTCGAAAATTCCAATAATTCTATTTCAAGATACGCTTACATCATCCACGTCGATAAAAGATGACCGTTCGACAGTGAGCAGAAACATCGTGGTCGATTACTATCCGTGCCTCTCATAAAACCGTTGTACGGAAGGAATGTTTGTTAAAGTTTCACGGGTGTCATGGCGTCTTCGCCAATTTCGTAACGACAGCGTATCTACAATGTGTATCCGTACTCCGGCGAGAGAAGACAACAAAAGGGAGGGCAAATAATCGTGGAACAATGGCTGGGCAGGCTGCTTCCGCGATCGCCGTTTACATTGTGCAAACGAACGCCCGAAGCCTTACGGATTCTAAACACGAGACATCCCACCCTTGTCCGCTTGTTTTCCTCTCGGCTTGCACTCTGCTCTCCGCCTTTCGAAACGAGGGTGGCCCGTGTAGTAGCTCGGAATTTTATAGGGTTAATTACGTAATAGGGTTAACTGCGATTTTAGACCGAATTAGCGTTTCAACGACACGAGAGTTACGAATCGAACGATATTAATCCTTTGTGTAATGAACACCGTGGATGTACGTTGATCTACATTCACTTTCACTCGTGGATTATGCTTCTACGATTTGTTCGGAAAAATTAGAATATCCTGTATTATTTGATAACAAGTCATGTACACAAGCTCACAAACACTCGTAGATATCTTTTATGAATATATTATGTGTGTTGTGCGTAACGTTATGAAACTTTACTAGCTGCGCTATAAAATTTGTCTGCCTTATTTATGCTAGTAAAGTTTGACAAATCCGAAAATATGTATAGAGATTGCAAGATATTTAATAGAAGTAGACGAGATTATATATTTCGCGCAGATCACAAAACTATTTAAAGTTCAATTATTTATTATATTAATAAACAGCTATATATAGCGGCACGTGAGTTAGAAACCAGTTAGAAAAAATTTAAATCATTGTTGTTTCGCCTCGAAGTATCAAGATCGTTAGGATACACGTAATGTAAGAATAAATAAACTCCGAGCAAAACAATGTCGCCGCCACGTGCAACCGTCGAACAAAGACGAATTTGGGTTTTCCGACTCTCCCCCGACCAGTATAAATAAGCGGTCGCGATCGCAAGGAAAAGAGTTACAGTCAGTTGTCGATCAGTTATCAACCAGTTATCAACGAATTATCAGCGATCTAATTAACGAGTCATTAGCGATCCTATTTTATAACTTATACACAGTCTTAGCGAACATTATCTGCATACTAATTTATCATTTTAAATATATTCGACGATTTCAACAACGAGCAATCTTGTCCATTAAACCTCACCGACCAATCATCCTCTACACATAAACCTCTACATATATATTTCAGCTAGATCATATTCGACGCTTATTATATCCTTAGAACGACTGTTCATGTTGTATATTAATTTTTTACTAAATATACGTTTGCAATAAACATTTTGTAATTTCTATAAACATTTGCAGATTAATTTTCAATTTGGTTAGTACAATCATGATCATCGTTTCGTAAATGTCGCAAGGAACTAGAGTCACGAACGTCACTAACTACAACTACAGAAAAAGTAAACAAATTAAATATATATGTGTATATCTTTTCAGTTTCTTTAACATGGTAATTAAAAGTTAAACGTGCGCTAATAATGGATGTAAATTATAGAGAAAGTAACGAGATCAATAAAACGAAACGTCCGATTAATATCAATCCAATAATAAAACAAGACTTTCTGGATCGTTAGAACGAAGCTACTCATTTCTTCTCCCAACAGCCATTATGTTCTCGTTTTTAACGATTAATTTCGGCATTTTGCTACCCCAAATAATCGTATGAAGTGCTCCTCCTCGTCGAGGCTCGCCACGCCACGTGCAAACTTGAAATTTTTTAATTGAAGGTTAACGCGGACTCTTACTGCGTCACTGTTATTTCTGCTTTATGGGGAAATAATTATCTAGTAATGACAGCTCCGTATGCTCTTACGATCGCCGTTTACAGTTTTGCACCATGCAAGCGTACGCTCGCCGCTTTACGGATTCTAAACACGGAACACTCCCTTCCCCTGTTCCCACCCCTTTACGACGCTGTTACCTCCGCTTTTGCCAGGGGATCGAAGGAATAATAGGGAATTGCACGTGTACAAATTCGTCGGAAACGTCGTTGTTCCTCGATCTTCGAGTCGATAATATCTTTCCAAAAGAAAGAAAATGGAAAGGACGAAAAGAAGGATCGGTACAAAGGGGAAAGAAAAAGTAAAATGAAAGATATAGGAACGTTAGCGCGATGAAATAGAAGGGGAAGGGAACGAGATACATGTTAGAAAACCTCTAATCTTCTCTTGGCTTAATATTCATCGCGCACATATAAACGCGCGCATACACGCGCACGAAAAACACGCCCAGCGTACACGTACTTAACTCAAGTATCGCGAGGTATCATTCACCACTATTTTCCCCGGTTAAATCCGGTAATTAGGTAAATAAAGCTGCCTGTCAGTGCATCCCTGCGATTGTTGCAAATGCCTCCCAGCAGTCACACGTAATCACGCGTAGTCACACTTGGCTGAGTGTATGGGTGGCCAGTGGAGACAGCAGCCGACCAGAACTCCGATCGGAATTTTCACGCGTCACTACCGCGTCCAATGGATGTGTTACATTAATCAAACTGACTTTCATACGGATTAACGTAATGCGTTTCATGATTTTCCTTTCATCGATGCCTCGTTTAATGCCTGCGTGTGATTTCACCGAATTATTCGTGTAATCTGCGCTTCTGCTACGAATTGTAAATTTTAAGATATTTTGTGATATTTACAAAAAATAGAAAAATGATTTTTACGTTATAAACTCTCATCTGGACGAAAACATAGAATATTCGTTTTATTTTATAAACTTATTACACTCATTGACGAATAATATGTTATTTAACACTGCAAATATCATAAAATAATATTCTTATAATTCTTAAGATTTCACTACGAATCTCATTCAAAGTCCTCAAATTATACAAGCGAAATTAATATTCAATTAACACGGTCATTCACCGTACGATCTTCCTCTCGTCAAATTAACATTTTCTTTTACCACTTAATCAATTAAAAATCTACTTAACATCTGCAAATCGTCCTCGAATGGAATCAGATACTACGAGATTGCCGAAAGCGTTCATCCCTGGAAACATCCATCAAAACATTTATCCATTTGAAACAACATCAGAGTAGAAGCCGCCTGCTCCACCCCGCATGACTACGCCAATGTGCAGAAGTAAACCGTTTACAGCATTGTACAATTACCCACGCCGGGATTCCATGGTCCTGCCACACCTACACCTACGCGAACGTCCGCGTCGCCCCGAGTGGCGAAACACAGTCGCAGCAGCGCGCCTGGCCACACGAGACCGTCCACGTAGTAGAACTCACGTGTGTACACGTGAACGTACACACGGCTTGGGTTAGGTTAAGTATAATGCGCGGTCGTGCAGCTTTGGGGGCCCGGAGGCGCTAACATGAAAATCGTATGGTAATGGGGCACCGTGGCTCCTCCAGCATGGGGTCGAGCCCGTGTAGGAACCTAGCGAAGCCCGCGGTAAGTCTAGCTTTCTTCCTAGTATTAGCGAGTCAGCCAACCACGTAGTTCAGCGCGGAGAACAAGAAGAGGACGAAAGAAAGAACCGAGAGAAAAAGAGAAACAGCGAAGAGTAAAGCTACGAGCAAGAGGAAGAGAAGTCGTAGGCCCTCTCGAGGAGGGTCCCTGGGTTCGCGTGCCTCTGATAATTATACGCTCGAATCGAGTCCCGGGAGAAACAGAGAGCGAACAGCCAGCGGGAGGGAGGAATAGAGAATATCGAGTCTGCGGTTCGACAGGGTCGAAGTTGACCGGCGTCTAATCGATTCGCCGCCTCGGCATGGAAATTTCTTTCAGGTTGCCCCGCGGCCACCCTGCATCCGCAACACCTAGCATCTACGAGAAAATTCCGTGGGACTACCCGTGGAAGCCACCCGCTGCACGATCTTCGTGGACGATGCTCTTTCAGCTAGGCAGAGGCGAGCTGCACCTTCGATTTGTCTTAACGTCGGATTACGCGTTGAGAGCCCATGAATGTTAACCGTGGTCGTGCTGAATCCTTTCATTACGAGTAAGATATTTTTAGTCGTAAGCTTTTTCGTTTACGTAAATTACTCATTAAATAGGCTTTATGTTGCGTATATATCTACGTCCCTTTAGAGCGGCTATATCTGTGGAATATTAATGGAAATATTTATAGGACTGTTAAACGCTACACGAAGGAATATTAACGTCTTGAACATCGAGTTTAGGATTAAAATTGAGATTAACACGAAGATAATAAAATCGGGTTTCGTTGATTCTGTCAATAGTTGGAAGTTTTATTGGTGTGTTAGAGTCTCGTTTGGTGCTCGAGTGTTTAAGACACTGGCTTTCGCGGTAGAATTAATGGTGTCGAAAAATATGACCAATAAAGTTATAGGACTAATTAATCTGTTGCTTTACAACTTTTTCCATGATCGTTATTAGAGATAGCCATTTTATAGCTTTAAGTGGTGTGTACGATGGGGAAATAGGAGGAGTTGGAGTATACATAGTCGTATATATTCTATTCGGCCCGATATAAGAAGACAAAGTAAATTAAATATAAACTATTCACATTTTAATGGTATAACGTAAAGAATATCGCGATAGTTATTACAGTTGAAAATCTTCTTATAGCGAATTTTTGAATCTTCGAAAATAATTATCAAACCAAAATAGTTATACGTATTTTCTATCAAAGTTCCACGAATTAGCGACAAATTTTTTGCCACAGTTATTAGAATAATTAATCCGTTGGCCTAAGTTAAATCGACTCGACTTCTCGGAAGTAGCAGCTACACGCTGCTGTTTTATGAAGTACGATGTCCCCGATAAAATGATCGCAATGGAACAAACGCATTCGAAGTCACGAAATCTATTTACATTATGCACATAACCAATTTCGTGACCTCACGACGACCACGAAACAACAAAGACAAAAGCGATAAATAGTTGTTGAACTCGCACCGTGGAATGTCTCAACAGCGTTAAACATCCTTCTAGCGATTTTCTACTCCATTCGCCATAAAAGAATAGACTTTAAAAGAAACTAGCCAGATATAGCTTCTTTGTTCCTTTCCAACCGAAGAAACAGTCCCTTTTTGGAAAACTTTGATCACTCTGGAAACTTGAAACGCCCTAAAGACAACAAAGAAGACAATAAAAGATGTGAAACGTTATTTCTAAAACTTTCGAGCATCGTTTCTTCTATCATTTATTACGACAAAGCATTTAGATTTTAACTTTGCCTTTATTTATAGACGATTTACTTTTGATTAAATACAAATTAAATTTACGACAGGATAATCCAAGCAATCGTGGAATTCAATGCTTAAATTGAAATTAAATTGAGATTAAATCATCATACCATAATCGATTCGGTTTTATCGTCTGCAAAACGTAAGTAAAACGAAAGGTATGGTGGAAATGTTTTTAATTATTCAATACATTACTCTGTGAGTTTGACATTAACAACGCATGTTAAAATATACATGTCCATTTTGGTTCAGCATCGAAGCTTTGCAAATTAAAACTTTAAAGCCTCGACACGACTCTTTCACTCGTAGCAAATTCACATACCTCTGATAATTCCAACGATCAATCGTATCCTTTTCTTTATTCATTGCAATACTTAGAATCTGAGGAAAACAAACGAAATTTTTCCTGCGAATAAACTTTCGAGTAAGACCTCTCTCTCTGTCCCTTTCTTGCGTCACAATAATCGATACTACAATATTAATTTAACTTCGCCTTATACTCGGTTCTATAAACACCCACAATCTATATTCTAAAAATACGTGGGGCAGCACTTGACAACAAATACCGTTATTCGACATTAACATTAATAGGACGACGGTAGCGCAGTGGTTAGCGCGCCTTAGGTTACGAACGTTTGGGACACGAGTTCCAATCCCGGCGCCTGCGTAGTCCTTTTTTTCTTGCAGTGTGAGTGTGGAGATCATATGAGAAAGCAAAAATAGCCGCGTTTAGAGGGTTCTGGTGTTCTTTCTGGCACAATTTTACGATTATGAAGAATATGACATCACGGATAGATTGATTTTCACTTCAATCTTCCATTGCACTTGGGGAAAGCTTTGAGTAAGTGATTACGGGACGCCACGATACGCATCAATAATCTTATCCTGTGTTTCCGAACGGTTGATCTCTGACTGGATAACATTCTAGCATAAGATCACATCCATTATATTCGCAAGCAGTTAGGGGTCCACTGGTATGTAGCCCCCCCTCCCTTGGCACAATCTGTTCAACACTGTCAGAGGCACCAGTGGATTTTTGCGAATTTGATGCCATATATAGGCGTTGAATGAAATTATAATTTGTTTTCGCATCTGTTTGATGAGTAATCTAAGCGTCTTGTTCGTTGGGATCAACGGTTCCATGATCTTTGAGAACGTTTCTCCGTAAACGAGAGTGCTTAAGATATCTAAACAGATTCCCTTCCTTTTTTTCGGTCAGAGATCAGATTTATGCGTAACGTGGCATCCCGTAATCACTTACTTAAAACTTTTTCCAAGTGCAATGGAAGATTGAAGTGAATCAATCTATCCGTGAAGTCATATTCTTCATAATCGTAAAATTGGCCAGGAAGAACACCGGAACCCTCTAAACGCGGCTATTTTTGCTTTCCCATATGATCTCCACGCTTACACAGCAGGAAAAATAGGAATACGGATAAGGAGGCGCTGGGATTCGAACCCAGGTCCCGAACGTTAGTAACCAAAGGCGCTAGCCACTACGCTACCGTCGTCCGGTTGAAATTAGTGTCGAATGGCGCCACAAATACGCCACACTATACTCGATCCTATGTTATTCATAAATGCAACGTACCTAAAATTAACTTTCACCAACGCATGTCACTCGTATTTCTTAACCCTTAGAGTGCTATGGACGTATATATGCGTTTGTCAATTTTTCCGAACACCTATGCAGAAATAATACTATTACATTTGTGTGAGATAAATATAAATGCATTCCTTATTTATAATGTATATATTTTAGAACAAAAATCTACCGCTTCGAAACAAAAATTTAGTGAATTTCATTTAACGTTGATAAGAAACATTTTACGAAAATATTTCGAACGTAGAAGCATGTTAAGAGGAGGAAAGAGAAAGTCTGAGGATTTACCATTTCGTTTAATCGATATGCATTTTCCATCAAAATGCCCTAATCGTGCCGGCACAATACAATTATCAAGAAGAAAATGTGTTTTTTGTGTGAAAAATAAGAGAAGGAGCGACACGCGGTACGAATGCAGAAAATGCGATGTCGAATTATGTATCGATAATCGTTTTGAAATTTTTCATACACAACTGAATTATTAACTCGTGTTATATTTACTAAATTTAGTTTTCTAGTTTATTGTTTTCTAGTTTATTACCCAAATTCTAGTTTATTGTAAATTTCAATGTTTATAATAAATAATTAATACTAAAAAATAACGCCCTTGAATCATCTAATCTCGTGCAAAAGAATTACTATAACTTATTACGATTTGCGCTTTGAATAGTCAATCGACAGAGTTCAGTCTAGCGAAAAAGTACTCCGTCCACAGCGATGGTCAACGCTGGCCGCGCGCCGTATGTACGGACCGCATAGGCCGCGAGTATTCAGCGCTCTAAGGATTAACCTACACATCAATTTTAACGAATCATCGTCTGAAACCGCGTTTAAAAAAGTACGAGAATCGTGTTGTGCCAAACACAAAAGCCATATATCAACTAATCATAATCAAATCGTTCAATCAAATCCAAAGATTCAAAGTCGTGATCGTCGTGACAATCGTGAATAACGCGATCTGGCGAATTGACGCGATCTGGCGAAATCTTAGCTAAATTAGTCGGTGATAATGATCGAAATTGTCGGCGGAAGGGCACGTGAAGTGCGACCTTCGTCGGAACACACGGCAATATCGAACTGGAGGAAATAGTGCAGGACACGTGCGCGTTAATCAAGCGTCACTGACGTCAGGGATGGTCGCGCCGACCGAGCGAAGGACGTTCACAGGCGGATCTCCACAGAAGCGATCAGCGATCCCACGGAAATCGGAAACAAGGTTCCGGCCGGTAGTGTCAACAGATTTGCCCCTGATAGTTGCTCGTACACAGAGAGGACGGTGTCGAGAGTGAGGGGGTGGTCAGGAAGGGGTGCAGATCGATCGCGAAGGATCGGGGTGTGAGTCGTGCTACAAATGCTTGTCTGTATATACGTGTGTGTATGTATACGTATGTGTATGTATACGTGTGTATGGGTTGAGTCAGAGCGAAGCAAGGGTGGGCTCACGATCAAATATTAAGTCTTATCTGGCGCCGCTTTACCCAGAAGTCGCGTTTTCTTTCTCTTTTTCCTTCTCGCTGAACCAGCCTTTTCGTCTCTTTCTCGCCGCCTCTAATTATCCCCGCCAACCACCGATGCTTCCAACAATATCCCCTCTGTTTCGCCTCACCCTTCTCCAACTAGCCACCCTCATGGTCGCGGGGCTATTCTCGATCGGTGAAACCACACACGTTGAGTATAGAATACATAAAAGTACCGACTTGCTTCTTCTCTCTTCGTCCACCGATCAACCACATCCCCATCCCCTTTCCGTTTCTTACACCACACCACCCCCTAAACGCTCCACGTCCTGCACCCCTTTGGCTTTCGCGCGCGTTCCTTCCTTCGATCGTTGGACGTTAATAGCTGCCACCGTCCCTCCCCTCTTTCTACCCCATCCTCCGGGGACCGTAATTAAGAGAAGGAAAGACGCGGATGGAGCCGATGTGGGTTCATCAAAGGAGGACATTCAGTCGAGGAATCCTAGGCCAACTAGAACAGTTTTCTCGATCTTACTTTTTCTTTTCTTTTTTTCGAGATGTTTTCGAGAATGTTCCTCTCGTAGTGGAAAGAATTAATGTTTCACCGATCTTACGGTTCAATTAAGAATTTCGTCGTTTGGATCTTGGAAGATTTGTCTACGAGTATTTGTGTTTCTCATAGTTTTACAGAATGTATCTTAGTAGAAAGAAATTAACAAAATTCGGGCTACGATATCATCGATGTATCAAATTATTTATTTATTTTATATTTTAAATTTTACTCTATATTTCAAGATGATTAACTTTCTTCTTGACCATTATGTACGTATAAATTAGAACGAATGTACATAAATTGGAATTTATATACGAAGAATTCCTATAAGGATACCATTAGTATAATAAAAAATATATACCATTAGTATAATAAAAAATGAAAAACAAATATTTCTATCTCGAGAAAAAGCTCCTCTAACATCCATCGATGCACTATACCAAACTCTCGGGTGGCTTCTCGTTCTTCAATCATCCCCGCATTTCTTTCGAGTGGAATTGGAATTGCGTATTTCGGGGAAGAAACAACGGACAGAGGATTCGTAGGTGGCGGGGTGGTTGCACGCGAGAGACGATGGGACGGTGCGAGAAGCGAAGGGTTGGACGCGTCCTCGTTACGCGAAAACGAGGGCGAAAGCGTTTCGAGGATTGCGATTCGATTGAAAATTCTCTCAGGTCCGTGGATCCTTGGGGTCGGATTGGTTGGCGCCAGTGGAAAGAAAGTTTTTCCCTAATGACCAAGCCGAAGTGGTTACCGTTAATTTGGCCCACCCCCTTTTACCCCGCGTTCCTCCCGACCACTTCTTCACCGCAGTCGTCTCCCTATCGTCCCATCCCCCCTCTCTCTCTCTCTCTCTCTCTCTCTCTCTCTCTCT